ACTCAAAGGAAGAGAAAAAAAAACAACGAGTAGCATCTGTTTCATTTTTAACTGTTTCTTTTCATAGGAAATCTTTGTCGAGCTGCTGGTCTTTTGAATAGATTAAGATATTATCTCCCCCATAAAGCTAAACGTCAAATTTATTTCGCCCTCATACACTCCCGCATAAGTTATTGTCTATTAGTGTGGTCAAGTACCTTTTCAAACAAACTTAGATTGTATCTTATCTATACAAAAGCGAGCATTACGAGCAATTGGAAACATAGAATTTTTTTAGGAATGCCACACCATACTTTAGAGCATACCGAATATTAGACTTAAGATATCTACACAAATATAAACTGTCCCTCTAGATTTGGCGGCAATTTCATACTGACAAATTTCTGTTCCATGCAAAGTACCCCGTGAAAATTGGGCCGTGCAATTGAAGACAAAATGTAATAATGAAATCTCGTTCACGGACAAATTATGGAGATCAGAAACTAAGTTTTCAGATGCCAGATTTTTTTAACCAACACCCAACTATTTTAGACTTTCTAAATAGCGCCAGGTCGCCCCTTAATTATAAAAAAGTGTGAAAGAAATTTTATTTGCGGACGAATGAAACAACGAAAAATATGTCCTAAACTTCTTGAATGATAAATGCTTGTGAAAGCACAAAAAAGTTTTTTTTTTTTTTAATTCTGTTGAAGCAAAATATAATATCATAGATAATTGGCCCATCTCTGTTCGCACACCACTGGTTGTCTGTTATTTGTCTTCTTTTGTGTTTGTTTTTTATTGTATAGCAGTGAAAGCCTGTCACTCTTGTTTTGTTTTGCTACCGCTGTTGTCAAAAAGTAGGGATGTCGCGAACCACCCTAGGTTCGATTTCGAAAGGTTTCGATATTTGCGAAGCGAACTGAGGTTCGATTTCGAAAAAATTCGATATTTTCGTACCGACCAAGGTTCGATTTCGAAAAATTCGCAAGTTTTGTCCACAGCGGAGTTTCGAATTCGAAAAGTTCGAAGTTTTCACGGTTTCTAAAATTTCGAATTCGATTATTTCGATTATTTTTTTACTTCAGGTTCGATAAATTCGAAGATTTCGAAATTCTTTGTAAAAAAATTTCGAAAACTTCGAACGCTTCGAATTTTTATAGACATGAAGTTCGAACAATTTGAAGATTTCGAATTTCTTTTTGCATAAAGTTCGAAAAGTTCGAAGGTTTCGATTCTCTTTTAACGCTAAATTAAAAAAAAAAAAAAAAAAAAAAAAAAAAAAAAACTGAAGATTTTCAATTTCTTTCTAATCCAAGTTTTCAAAGTTCAAAGTCCGATTTTCAAGTTTTTCCACAGTTTCAGTTTCAAATAACGTTTTCACGACTCACTGGTTTTCACAAAATCAAGTTAAGAAAAGTTAGGGTGTGATATCTAGATTCTGCGAAGTTGGTCAGGCAATTAAATGAGACGACGAGTGTCCCGGACGTGCTGGAATATTTGCCAGTGCAGAATTGTGACCGCCAGCCCCGGGGGGGGTCTTTAACCTGCATCACGCAGTACTGATTACACGAACACACTGTTTTACGAGACTCATCCAGTTCGAAACGGCCAGGGGCGAGCAGGAGGTTGAGGCTCAGAAGAACCTTGAAGCGACCTGGCAAACTAGCTCGCCACCCCTTGCACGCTGGTAGTAATCCGATCCGGTGAAGTTTATAATTGTCCTGGAGGTTTATTTTCTGGGACGGAGGAATCGCCTCGCAACAAGCACAAAAGCCGACACAACTCGAGGTCGAGGAGCGTTCTACCATACAAGTGGCGTCGGAAGAGGAAAAACGGGGGGAAAAAGGGTAGCGGGGGGGGGGGGGGGGGGGCTTTAGCCTCCTTCTCCCCCTTGCAGGTATTTCGGACTGTTAAAGAAAACAATACGGGGAACGAGGGCGTGGTCGAGCTTATTTTAATCTGAAATTATTTATGCATATGTATAGCTAATGTCGCTCTTCACTGCATAAAAGGTTGCGTAGATGGTCATTGTTAGAAACTCGTTGTCAGAAGGCACTGCTCGTCACATGCTTAGTGGTTCGGAAGTTCAAAGCTGTCTTTTCGACCTAAACACCTGTGCCGATAGTAAGAAAAGAAAAAAAAAAAAAAGAATAATTGCGGGAATAAAAAGCAGGAGAAAAAAAAACTATCAAGAATTCGTCGGAAGTGTTCTATTCTTGCATATTCAGAGGTTCAGAACTTCGAAACAAGTTTCTTTTACCAAAATGTGTACAGGCTAAAAGAAACACGTCCCAGGAACGTGAAGCGAAAAAAAAAGAGTTTTCTTTTAATGACGTGCTGAACTTGAACACTACTAGAAATCTTCTCCCATGAGTTAATTTAATCCTTAACGTGAAAAAACACTAAATATATTATTTTGTATTCTGCAGATGGCAATGATATGTACTGTCTGTGGTGTTAATTTAAATGCGATACCTCAAACAACTTAGACGAAAATAAATATCAAGTTTAAGTCATAATTGCATGCAGATACATGTTTGGACATTTCTTCGAAACTCACGTTGAATAACAATAATCACATCTTAAGACGGCACTTTCCTAGGCTATACATAGATCATTCTTAAAAAAGTATAACTTATCTACCATGAATAGCTCCGGCTGCAGCGTGCTTCAAATCTGGCACAAACGATAATCGTCAAAAACCCGTCGTCCTTCCTCGCCCCTTCGGGGATTTATTTCTTTAAACCTAAGCATGCCAGAAGATTGAAATAAACGACATTGTCTTTCGTAAGGAACGCAGCACCGCGTGTAAAAGTTCGAAAAAAAAAATTACGAATGTACCCCACTACTTGAAATCAAATGAAACCGTTCGCCGGTCTTTCGAAGTTCGACGAACGTCGAACTTTTACCCTAAAAGTTCGAAGTTCGTCGACCTTCTGACTTTTCAGAATTCGAAAGTTCGAAACTTTTCGAATTCTCTTGATAAATAAGTTCGAAAGTTCGAAATTCATCGAAGTTTTTGGTCAGTCAAGTTCGAAAGTTCGACAAGCATCGAACCTTGCAACGCAATAAATTCGAAAGTTCGAAAAATATCGAATTTTTTAGCGTAATAAGTTCGACGGTTCGAAAAGCGTCGAACTTCTTAGCTTAACAAGTTCGAAAATTCGACCGCCGTCGAATTTTACGATATAGACAATTCGAAAAATCGAAATCTTTCGAACCTTTCGAACCGCTTGATTCGATCATCGAAACTTCGATTCGAAAAAAGTTCGCGGCATCCCTATCAAAAAGGGCGATGTGGCCTCGTCAGGCACTTCAAAGTGCATTTAGTCATGTCCCCCCAGGACATTCAGTAAGTTCTGTCTCAAATAAACTCATACCAACAAACCTCAGTTACCAGTGTTAGCATGACCACAAACACACAAGCTGCACTGCACAATTAAAGTTGTTTGTTTACATTGAACAGCAAAATATCTTGCGAAATAAGCTCTAAATTGAATTTAGTTTACCTTCAATACTATAGCTATCTTTTTTTTTCTCTTCAGAGTAAGTTCATAGAAAAACTCATAGAGTTATTATAATGTAAGACATAGGTCCATCTGGCGCCAGCGGGCGGTTTCAAAGTGAAACAGACGGCAACCAGTCTGTAGTTGACTCCCGGTGACGCACTTCCATGGGTAAAAATGAGTGCAGTTTCTTTATGAGCTCAACCATTAATGAAATATCACGAATAATTTGTACGAACTAAATACATGAAACACTTATCAGTCAGGAAGGCAAAAGAATTGGTCAGCATTAAAAGCGGTGTGATAATGGCATCATGCTTGTATTTATGTAGTACGTACACTGTTCGACACTGTTAGCGCGAATATTGCATCGTCGCTTTTTGGCAGTAGGGTCTGCCTGCCAAAGCATCCAGGGCATCTCGGAAATTAAGAGACCCTTGAAAACTACGCACTAATACTGAACGAAAATAAACCATGGAGAAGAGAACAAGAGGGACAAAGGACAACCAAAAATCTCTTAACACAGCTAGGTGACTGGTGCGCGACCGAAAGAAATCCGCCTGGTTCGGGTATTGAACCCGGGACCTTTCCATTTCCAGTGGAGCGCTCTACCAACTCAGCGAACCAGGGAACAGACGTCAGTAGAAGAAACAGGTTTTATCAGCTGCCACCAGTCAAGCAAAATGGGAGAGAGGCTTGCATTAAGGTTATGATTATAATGCAATTAAATGCAAAGGTGAAGGGAGCTGGACAAGAACGACGAAAATGAACCCTAGAGAAGGGAAACAAGAGGGACAAAGGACAAACACAAATCTCCAAACACACCTAGGTGACTGGTGCGCGACCAAAACAATCCGCCTGGTCCGGTTATCGAACCCAGGACCTCTCCATTTCTAGTGGAGCGCTCTACTAACATAGCTAACCAGGGGCAGACGTCGGTAGTGCAAACAGGCGGATTTGTTCGGTCGCTCACCAGTCGCCTAGCTGTGTTTCGGGATTTGTGTTTGTTCTTTGCTTCTTGTTCCCATTCTTAAGGGTTTCTTTTCGTCATTCAAGTCTAGCTCAATTGCACTTTGCATTTAATTGCATTCTAATCCAAACCTTAAAACGCAAGTCTTTCACGCGTGTTGGTGTTAGACTGGTGGCAGCTGATAAGACCTGTTTGCTCTACTGCCGTAGTGAAAAAAGTCATTTGTAGGAGAAATTTCTTGTGCCCAATAAACACATATGAATCATACAAGATATATAAGAGCCTATAAGAACCATATAAGAACGATATAAGAACTATATCAGATATATAAGAATCATGTAAGAAACCTAGCAGAAACTTCTTTGAAGTTTCTTCTATGGTGCTTCTTTGTTCTTATATATCTTCTATAGTTCTTATATAGTTCTTATATGGTTCCTATATGGTTCTTATGTGTTCTTATATATCTTGTATGATTCGTATGTGTTCATTAGACGCAGAAATTTCTCATACAAATGAGAATTTTCAGTATTGTGACGTCTAACCCCTGGTTAGCTCAGTCGGTAGAGCGCTCCACTACAAATGAAGAGGTCCCGTGTTCGATACCCGGATCAGGCGGATTTTTTCGGTCGCACACCAGTCATTTACCTGTGTTTGGATATTTGTGTTTATCCTATGTCCCTCTTGTTCATCTTCTTCAGGATTTATTTCCGTCATTCTTGTCCAGTTGTCTTGCACTTTTGCATTTAATTGTATTATAATCAAGCGCTAATACTGGATCACTGACTATCGGCATGTCGACGTTCGAAGTGGAATGCAAGTACATAGTGCGACTTCCAATAATGCGTTTGTATTTTCTTGGCTCATATGTTCCATAGCGTCAAAACGTCCTATCCCCACGATAAAGTATCCTTGAAAATAGAGTAAAGCGAGAAAAACGCTTCGCGCTCGAAAGCCGCGACCCGGTAAACAAATATTAAGAAAAAGAAGCACAGTTCTAATTTGCACACTTTTATTGCTCTGTTTTTATTGATCGTAAAGTTGCAGGACGCGGTCATTTTTATGTAGTGACGTACGAAGCGCGAAAATGATCAATATTAATCGTGTCATGAGAATACTGGCACTCCATGATCGAGCCCTATGTTTCTTTCAACTGTTGTTGTTTGAATTCATCACTTCTCATTACACACCTGCTCTAGAACAAGGGCTTGTGTCTGGAATACTCCGAAGTTAAACATCGCTTGCTTATAGTAAATTAACCAAACAAACAAAAAAAAAACTTCTATAATGTTAATTAAGCTAACCACTATTCACTACAAAGCAAGTAACAAAGTTAATTCATGTTATTCTCTGGCGAAGAGACGAAATGCACGCGCCTTTTACCATGGAACGTTGAGAAGTACCGTAAAAGTGAACTAGTTGCCGTCTGCTTCATTCTGAAATGAGCAGCCCCGCAGACCAGGTCAACCTTTAGAGTACATTATAGTAACTCGCTTGCACAACTGGGGCGGCCGATCAGAATTTACTTTTTACCAAAAATTTCCCGTTTTGTATATAGCTTCCCAATGTTCAAAAATTGCGAATTTGGGAATTTTGCAAATGCGCTGTGTAGATATGTTGCGAAAATTCTTTTTTGGATCAAGCAACATCTGCACGCGCACATACGCTTAATTCTTAAGGATTCGTTTTTATCTAGGATTCCGTGTTTTGAGATATATTCGAAAAACTGGGAAAAACATTCGCCCGCGAATTTTTCGTTAGTTTTGACTTATCTAATAAACTACAAATTGCATTGTTCTAATGCATAAATAAAAAGTACAAATTTTCTTTAATTTTTTGATAGAGCACAAATGTAACGGTCTTTGAGAAAATGCCACCCCACTCTCCTTTCGAAACTTGGACCACTCACAAAAAAACGGTGTTGCCATGTATCTCGTGAAGGTTCATTCAGGACAACAGGTCACAGAGGACTTCTGTGTCGGAACAAAAGCGACTTTTCCGGTTTCTAATTTGGAACGGTCTATTTGTGATTCTTAGGGAAAGAGGAGTTGTGTGTAGGTAGCAGGGTGAAGGCTATGAACCATAAAGATTTCATAAAAAGAGAAAGAGGGGGAGGTAGTTTAAGATTCAAGATTACGTCTTTTACCATTGTACATCGACGCAGGCGCAAGGATGGAATGGAATGAGAACAAGCTTCCCAGCCACTAACCCCCCCGGAGTTCAGTAATTTTAAGGTATCAACGTCTATTGAAACAACACTTCCTTGCAAATTTTGTCATGGGACACATTAGTAGTGCCAATAGCAAGGGCGCCAACGCCAATTTAAACTGAATAAATATAATTTGGCAAACCAGCATTATTTATTTTATTTTTGAAAAATAAGAAACACTAAAATTCATCTCGGAATTTCGGAGGATCGGCAATTTAGCAAAAATGAACTCTAATGAGATCCGAGGTTTTTTCTAAAATAAACTCCGAAAAATACCATTCGTATTTGACAACGAAATAAATTCCGAAAACATGAAACCCCTAATGATACCTTCTTCAGCTGTATTTGGCGTTATTGCTTTTTCCCTTACCAATATACAAACTTTTCAAGGACAACACTGAAAAGCAATGTTGCTTCAATAAGCTTTGATACTTGAAAATTACTAAACGCCTGGGCGCAGTCGCTGGAAAGGGTGTTTTCTTCCCATCCCACTCTACCACTCCACAATGAGGCTGTACGGGGTGAAGGGATGAAGATAGAAATAAAAGTGATTCAAGTGCCCCCCTCCCCGGCCCTTTTTGAGGAAGACGGATTTTTTTTGTTAATTGCTATGAAGACACAACCGCTGCCTTCTCTCATAAATACAAGCAGTAGGTCCCACACTGAAAACCGGAAAGGTGGCTTTTGCCGCGAAGAAGAAGTACAACGATCAGTTGTCTTAAGTAAACTTTAGCGACATGAACAGCGATACCTTTTAGTCGTTAGTCTGAGATTTGAAAACAAATCGAAGTGGACACTTCTCAGGACAACTGGTCCTTTGCCCTGACCAAACGTACTTGTAGTACACAGCTTTTTAATTGTTTTGTTTTTATCGCAACGTTGACATTAGGAGTTAATAAGATAAATCCGAATTCGCAAAAATGTTACCATGCTGTGTGTTTTGTAGTTTTTTCTACTTACCCGTTAGCTCAGAAGTCGTACCTCGAAACCTCTCTACAGTCGTGGACGATCTTGAAAAGGCAATGACAAAAGCAACGAAGACAACGCGTTTTCATCGCAGCAATTGTGGGAATGAGAAGCGAATGTTCGCTTTTGGTCGCGACTCACCGTTGGGTTTGTAAATGATTGCTGAGTGAACACCGATAGTAATAGTGTTCGGTGAGATGTATTAAAAACTGACTATCGTCATTCAGTTTGCGAGCTTTTTATCAAATGCCCCTAAGTGATTCATACACCTGCCGACACAGGGGTTTAAGCCAGACTTGGTTTTGCTTTTTGTTGCGGAACGCCACCTCAGTTGGCACTGAAACCATCATTAGCTCAGCGAAGGCTGGTCAACTGAACAGGCGCTGAAGCCTTGACCGTGAATGAGTTTTCTTGTGAAAAATAGAGTGGCAGGCCTTGCAAGATACGCGCTTGCCTGAGTTTTTGATATTATCCGTGACTGTACGTATATATTTCAATATTGGAACCTCTCATGTTTATATACATCAGCTACAATTCGGTAGCTTCCTTCCGAGCTCTGTGTCAGAATGAAATAAACAGGTGTATTTACATTCCCGGTATTTCCCACCTCAAACTGTTGGCGAGCCAGCACGCAATACCAGAGTTCCTCGAAAGCTCGCCAGATAAAAAGTGTAGGTTGGGTCGGAAAAAGCAACTTCGTTTTTCTGTATTTACCATGTTGTGCTCTTTGGCCTACTACCAAAGCTGACTGCCAGAATTCTCTCCTTGAAATGTTGGCTCTGCGCCAGGCCCATCTAGTAGAGCTGCTACGTAGAATATTAAACACCTCCATGCGTCGAATGCGTACTTCCTTTGACGATGACGTTGGCGCAGATATAGTATTTCATTTGAAGCACTCTCGTAGAGGGGCCATTAATACACACATATCGTTTTAGCGATTTCCGTACATTTCACAAGCTGCTACCACAGAACGATTTCATAAGAGTGTTGTTAAAAAAGTTCGTGATTTTGTGTCTTGTAAGAAAAATGAAGGGATAAGGTTAATGCTTGATGAGTATTTTTGAACACCTTGTACACGTTAACACTTTCAAGGGATCTTCTAAGCCACTTCTAAAATTATTTTGTTGCAATGCCAGATTATCGACGGCACTAGATGAGGAATGTCGGCGAATGCAGTTTCTTACGAAGAGTTTGTTTGCACTTACGGCTCTGTCAGTTGCATGATTAAAGCGCCTAAACTCCAACGAAAATTAAGAGTTGAATATATATAAGAGGGCGAGAAGAACCATTACACCCGTGGCAACGGTTGGGTTTCTTGCACGACGTTCGGTAAAAAAGTTCGTACTGCTCATTAAACTGCCCCAGTCCTCCTCGTCCTCTCCTTAATTCGTGGCTATATATAAGGCGCCCGTGACAGCTTGACAAAAATAAATCAAAATAAATAAACATAGCACGTTTATAAAAAGCAGTAGATGTGAGTTCCCCGCTTTCTTGTGAAATGACAATGAGTTCAGCATATAATTAATCACCAATATTGGTGGCAGAACCATTATATACGTTAACAAAATATTTTAAATATTTATTTACATTCATTTACTTGAAAGTAGTCATTCATACCTACAAAACTTAGCAAAATTCATTTTAGTAGAATGCTTATTCATTGCATTTTCAAAGTAATGCATGTTTTGCACAGTTCATATCTTGCAATTGCACCTTGATGTGAGTGATACTAATATTAGATCGTTTATCGCTGAATGATTGTTTCTTTCGCTCTTTCATTTGGTTTGTAAATTTTGTTGAGAACCATGTAGAACTTAATCTATTCATTTATTCTTTAATTTGTCTGATTAAACTGGAATAATATGGATAATATAGATAAGATTTTGTTTGACAGTGGCAATAAAACAAACTTGAAGCGCCAAACACTGATAGAAAGAGTTACGATTGCTCACAAGTTACTCAGTCACCGTACAAGAAGGTTATTCCTTCTCTGGGTAGTGTAGGGACCGAAAAGCTTCAACGTTGCTTGGTAGCATGACTTATAGCCGGAAGAGTTCTTAACAGCGAAAAACATTTGGAGAACTCACGGCGGCGTGAACTTCAAGTTGACAGTGAAGTACATCACTGAGAGCTCAAAAGCACTAGTTTTATGGGGTACTTTCATGGAAATAGTAATCTTCGTTACACGCGGAACCTGAAATGAGAAAAATAAGATTAATATATAAATGTCATTGCCTGCTTTCCGGGACACGGCGGCCTAGTTTCAGAGTTTCACGCCACGCGGTGCATCAATCTTAGCCTAAATAAGGCCTTTAATGCAAGATGGGAAAGAACGGGTTTACTGTTTCCTTAACCTCCTCTCTTTTTAATTTTTTCGGCCTCCCATCTCTTCACCGCCCGAATCCGGCTGTGGCGGACTCCGAGGGAATTCTGCCTAATGCGA